TCCTGTCTGTGTATCCCAAAATTTCCTCTCTGTATATATCAAAATGTCTTGTCTGTGTATCCCAAGATTTCCTGTCTCTGTATCCCAAAATTCCCTCCCCGTGTCCTTCCCAGTCTGTAATTCCCAGTTTTTGGACTGACTGTTACTCCTGGCCCCCGTTTCTTCCACTCCCTGGAATTATTCCCTTTTTTCACTGGTTAAGGATAATAAATTATGCAGACTTTGGAGCGGGGCCTGGAAGGAGTCCCTGGGATAACCCCGGAGTGGGGTGAGGCAGCAAATTCCCTAAAAACGGGGAATCCAGGGATCTGAGCCTGGAGCAGCAGCCAGGAAGGGACTCCGGGAGCCAAATTCTGGGATCGAGATCAGCCGGGAGTCTCCTCCTCTTCCTCCTCCTGCTTTTCCTGGGATAAGGATCCCCAGGTGCGGGGTCTCCTCCTCTGGACACCTCTGGAATTCTGTTCCATCCTTTCCTGGGAATGGGGTTCCCAGGGGCGGGGTCTCCCTCTCCTGTCCCCCCTGGAATTCTCCTCCATCCTTTCCTGGGGCCGGGGCTCCCTCAGGATCATCCCGAGCCGCAATTCCCACCCCGCTGGGCTCTGCCCGCGCTACTCCCTCGCTGTTCCCAGGATTTCTCCCGTCCCAGGAGCGCCCGGGGCTCGGGAATTCCGGCCCGGGGCTCTCCCGCTCCTCTGCTCCGGGAATTCCGAGCCTTTCCCGGTGCTCCGCGGGCATTTCAGGATGCGCGGCCCTTCCCTGACTCCAGCGTGGCGGGGGACTGAAATGCCAGAGGCTGCGGCTCCTGGAATAGAAATTCCAAGGGCTGATATTCCAGGGGCTTCCGCCCGGGTTTTGGGGACGATGCGAGGGCAGAGCAGAGGCTCCGGGAGTTTTGGGAAGGGCTGGAGCGATCCCGCACCAAAGGCACCGGACCTTTACCTCCACCTTCCTCTTCACCTTCCTCCTCCTCCCTTTACCGGAGCGGCGCCGTGTCCCGGACCCGGCCACGAACCGGGGCGAGGGGGGAGCACCGGGGAGGGTTCCCAGAACCGGGGAGAAGCCAGTTCCCCCAGAACCGAGAAGAGGACCCAAAATCGGGGAGGGGTCCCGGCTCCCGGGCGGGGAGCTCTGGGGGCTCCCACCTGCAGCAACTCCCTGGGCGACCCCCGCGCCTCGGGGCTCCTCTCCAGGCTCCTCCTCAGGAAACCCTGGAAGGATTTCGGGATTTTCCATCCCCGGAGCTGTGGGAGCGGGACGGTTCCCACCCAGGGGTGCTCAGCTGCCCCCGGGACCCCGAAACCCGATCTGCTCCTAAAATCCCGTTTATTCTTAAAACTCCATCTGCTCCTAAAATTCCGCGTATTCCTGAAACGTAATCTGTTCCTAAAATCCTGTTTATTCCTGAAACTCGATCTGTTCCTAAAAAATCCTGTTTATTGCTGAAATCCCTTCCATCCCAGCGCCGATGGAGCTGGGAATGCTGGACTGAGTGCGAGGGGAAACTGAGGCAGGGCCCCTCTTCCCGCAGTTCCGGCCATCCCAGCCCGGATAAAAGCCGGGAATAAAAACCCGAGTGGGTTTTATTTTCTGTTGATTTCAGCCATTCTCTCTAAATCCCGGGTTCATCGTGGGGAGCGCGGGAGCTTTCCTGGAAAGGGGGGGTTCGGTGGCACCTGCGGCTCCTTCACCCCCTTCCTACCCCGGGAAGGGGGCAGGAGCCCAGGCCCCCTCCCCCCGACTTCCCTCGCTTCTGCTTTCTCGGGGTTTTGGCCCAAAATGAGTCACCGGGGGATTTTTTTTTCTCTCTCATTTTTCGGGACTCTTTCACGAGCCGAAGCGGGGGGGGATTCTCGGGGGGCTGAGCCCGACTGTCCCCCGCTTGTGAGCGGCTCCGGTCCCGCGGGACTGGGATTCCCAATCCAGGGGCCGGGGACAGCATCCCTGGAATGCCGGGGACCCCAGCGAAGGGGCGCGGGACCAGGAGCCCGGAGCATCCCGCTGTGTCCCCACCCTCGGGGCGGCTCCGGCGCGGGGAGCGCGGCTTTGGGGGCCGGAAAGTCCGGCCCAGTCACTCGGGAGGCGGAGGGAGAACCCCCAAAAGCGCGTCCGTTCCGGTAAGCAAAGAGTCAATGGCTGCGGCTCGCCCCGCTCCGGCTCGCACACGCCACTTCCCCGAGCGGGGCTGACTCATCCCGGGCTCGGTCCCGCTCCGCGACACCCGCGCTCCGCTCCGGCCGCCCCGAGCCCGGCCCGAGCCTCCGCCGGTGAGTCTCGGGGGTCCCGGGGGGCTGGGGGGTCCCTCTGCCCGCCCCGAGCCGCGCTTCCCCCGCCCGCCCCGTCCCGAGGGGCACCGGCCGCCAACCCCAAAATGCCGAAACCTCCGGGAAGCGGGGAGCGCCCCGGGGGTCCCGCGGGGGTCCCGGACCTGCCGCCGCCCCCTCGGGTCCCCGGCCCCTTCGGCAGCGCCCGCCGGGATGCCCGGGGGGGTTCGGGCTGAGCCGGCGGCGCGGGATGGGGAAGGGATGACTTCAGCCCATTACTCACGGCTTGGCAGCGCTCCCGCGCTATTCCGGGCCGTGACGCTCCAGCCCCGCGGATTTGGGCCTAAGCAGGCAGAATTTGGGTGATTTGGGCAAGGAGAAGGAGCAGGGGACACGCCGCGGGGTTGAGGAGCGGGGCGGGGTTTGGGATGAGTTCGATCCCGCTCCCGGAATTATTGTTATTATGATGATTGTTATTATCCCATTAAGTGTGTAATTAGAGCCCGGGCGCCGCCCCCAGCCCCCCACACCCCAGCACTGGCGGGGGTTGTTCAGCCCCAAATCGGCCGCGTTTCTCCCCAAAAGCCCCGGGCGCCCCCCCCTAAGGCCCGGCGGTTTCCTGCGCTTGGGGAGCGCGGCCGGGAAAGGCGGAAATCGCGTCAGCGGTGCCGGGAACCGAACCGGGGCCGGCGGAGGCACCGCGGGGGCGGGACAGGGGGGTGGCACCTTCACCTGCACACGCAGGTGTGTGAGGGACACCTGGACCTGAGAAACACCTCTGTGTGTATGTGTGTGCGTGTGTGAAACACCTGGAAATGTACACACAGGTGTGTGCGAGACACCTGGACCTGATGAACACCTGTGTGTGTGTGTGTGGGTGTGACATCTGCACCTGATAAACACAGGTGTGTGAGTGATATCTGGACCTGATGAACACCTGTGTATGTGTATGTGGCACCTGGACCTGCATAGACACACACGTGCCCACCTGCACGTGGGAACAGGCACCTGGACGTGCTCACCTGCACACACCTGTGCTCAGGTGTGCTCATCTGCACTTACGAGCGCGCTGGCGCCTCTGTGGCGTGTAAACACACCTGGCACACGCGCGTGCCCCCCCCCCCACGCACCTGTGCTCGGGTGTGCTCACCCACAGCCCCGCTTACGCTGCGGCTTCAGGACCTCAACTCCCAGCGTGCCCCTCGCGGGGGGCGGGGTCGGGTGGCGCGGATGTCCAATAGGAGAAGGGGCGTGTTGGCTCAAGCCAATAGGCAGCGAGGGGGCGTGTCCTCCCCGCCCCCGGGCACGCCCCGCGGTCACGTGGCGCGGGCGTGGCCGGTGAGCGGGACCGGGGGCGCCGGAGGGGCTCGGTGGGACCGGGGGGCGTGGGGAGTGCCCGGGGATCCCCCTGCCCGCCCCGCTCCTTCCCCAGGTTGGCATCGCCGCTTTTCGCCGTTTCCCTGGGGTTTT